ATATTCCTCATTTCCCCAGCTTTTCATAACCACAATCCTTCAACAATAGTTTCCCAGTCAGGTTTGTTCCAGGAAAACCAGGGAAAACCCTATTTAACCCAAGAACAAAGGGAATCACTGGGCCATGGAGAACAGGGAGGAATAGGAAGCACTGACCCAAGAAGATGTTGGCACCAGGATTTGTTCCTCACCTCAGTTCTTCCAGCTCTTTCTTCTTCTTCATCTCTTCCTTCTCCTTCCTCTTCATCTCCTGGATTTGGGCTTTCTTCTCATTCCTCTCCTCCCTATCCCGAGCTTCCTTCTCTGCAGCCAAGTCTGGGAATCTTTCCACCTTAGTCTTCTCCAGGCGGTTCAGGATCTCATTCACCTTCTTCTCCACTGTCAGCATCTTCACCTGGGGAAGGCAAACAGCTCAAACACCTTGGATCTTGCCACTATTCCCACAAAAACCCAGGAAATCCCTGCCACTGAAAGCTTCCAAGATGGTGGAACAGCATGGAGAGGCACATTTCCAGCTCCAGGAAATATGGAGCTGAGCAGGAGAAGGATTTTATTTCATTTCTTGGCTAAGGGATAAGGATTGGGCTCTTCCAGCTCCCGAGGAGGTCTTTGCAGGGAATTTTGGGAAGAGGAGGTCCTGTGTGTTTATGGATTGTGGGATTTGGGGCATTTCTTGACCTGGTTTAGTCCAACAAAGGCAGATTCAGAGCTTTCCATCCCAGAAATCTGGATCAGGAGTGACAACCACAACAGCGTCTGTGGGCATGGGTTAGGCTTGGGAAGAAGTTAGGAATACATGGGATCATGGAAGGTTTGGGTTGGAAGGACCTTAAAGCTCATCCAGTTCCATCCAGGGACACCTTCCTCCAACCCAAGTTGCTCCAAGCCCCATCCAACCCGGCCTGGAACACTCCCAGGGATGGCTAAGAACATGGATATTCCTTGGATTTAGGAGAAACACTGCAGACAATTCCCTCAGCTCCTCCTGTGGATTGCAGGAGACACTTACATCCTTCTGCCTGTGGAATCCAATCTGTCCCACATCCATGTCTGCTGTCTTCTTCAGGTTGGTCCAAGGTGTGTACACCACGTTGACGTTGTTCATCTTGCACCCTGGGAAACAGGGAAACAGGGAATCAGCTCAATCCTATCCTTGCTGGAAGCTCTCCTTGTCCCTGGCATGACCAGCTAAGTAGGAAAACGGAGAAGGGAGACTCCTTCCAGGGTTCCAGGGAAAGGGGAGAAGTCCAGGACATCACTTTGGGCTAGAACATGAGTGGAGTTAACAATCTCTGGATGGGAATGGGATTTTCCAAGGTGGTGGGAGGAAGCTGAAGGCCTCCCTGGCTCACATGGGAAAGTCATGGATTTCAAACTCCTCTTTCTGAGGAATTCTGAGTTTCCCACAGGCACAGGAATAATGGAGAAACCTCATGGAAATTTGAGCCAAAACCTACAGGTTCATGTGGAGTGGGAACACAACCCCCTCCCACCCATCTCCCGGGAATGAGGATTACCTTGGATGCTGTTTGCCTTCACGAGATGGGCACAGTCTATCAACACTTCCTTGGGAATGTCATCCACTGTCTGGCCCTGGGAGAGAGCAAGGCAAGGGGAGGGAATGATTTACATGGGACATTGGGAACATAGGAGAAGAGAAGGCTCCAGGGAGACCTCAGAGCTCCTTCCAGTGCCTCAAGGGGCTCCAAGAGAGCTGCAGAGGGACTTGGGACAAGGGCCGGGACGGACAGGACACAGGGAATGGCTTCACCCCGGAAAAGTGGAGATTTAGATGGGATATCAGGAAGGAACTCCTGGCTGTGAGGGTGTTGAGGCACTGGCACAGGTTGCCCAGAGCAGCTGTGGCTGCTCCATCCCTGGGAGTGTTCCAGGTTGGACAGTGCCTGGAGCAACCTGGGCTAGTGGAATTCCCACAGAACAGCCACATCCAGGTTTATCCAAGGGAATATTCAGGATTTGACTGAGGTGTTCCACGTTTACCTTGTGCAGCCTCAGGTACACGTGAGCAGATGAGAGTTTGTCCACATGAAACCTATGGAATAAAAAAGCACGTTTACTAGGGATTCCAGGAAATAGAATTCCCCTCAATGGGAGATGGAAAAACAAACACCTTTTCCCTACGTTTTTTCCCTTTTGAGTGCTAAAATGCCTCTTTTCTCCTAAAATCCTCTATCCTAATCAAGACTCACTCCAGGAGGGAAAAGGGGTGGGAAGGGCAAGGGTGGGGGATAAGGGGAAGGAAGAGGGGGAAAAGGGAAGGAAGGGGGAAAAGGGAAGGAAGGGGGAAAAGGGCGAGGGAAGGAAGGGGGGAAAAGGGGAGGGAAGGGGGGAAAGGAGACATGGGAAAGGGGGAAAAAGGGACATGGGAAGGAGGGAAAAGGGGTATGGGAAAGGGGGGAAAGGAGATGGGAAGGGTAGAAAAGGGGATCTTGGGAAAGATGAGTTCCCTGGTTCAGGAAATCTGAGGCTGAATCTCAAGGTCATTCCTAAATAAAGGTATGCACATCAATTATTTAGGGCTGGGATAAACCTGAGACAGGAAAAGAACGTCATACTGCAGGGGCAAAGTGTCCTCAGCTGCCGCAGGAGCTGTTCTGCCGGGGAAGGCAAAACATTCCCTGGCAAGGGAATGCTGGGAGTGCTGACAGAGCAGCTCCAGGGAGTCTGGGGGTACCACAGGCTACAGCTCCAGGGAGACCTTAGAGCCCCTTCCAGTGCCTCAAGGGGCTGGAGCAGAAGGAGCAGCTGAGGGAGCTGTGGGGGCTCAGCCTGGAGAAAAGGAGGCTCAGGGGAACCTTCTGCTCTCTGCAGCTCCCTGGCAGGAGGTGCAGCCAGGTGGGGTCAGGCTCTGCTCCCAGGGAACAAGGGACAGGATGAGAGGGAACAGCCTCAAGCTGTGCCAGGGGAGGGTCAGGTTGGATATTGGGAACAGTTCCTTCCTGGAAAGAGCTGTGCATCCCTGGCACAGCTGCCCAGGGCAGTGGTGGCTTCCCCATCCCTGGAGGGATTTAACATCCCTGTGGATGTGGCACTTGGAGATGTGATTAGTGGTGACACTAGCAGTGCTGGACTTGATGGTCTCAGGGAACGGTTCCAACCTCAGTGATTCCCTGATGCCATAAAAGAGCCTCCCCAGAGCCCGTGGAAGTGAGAGGGAGCTGCAGCACCCACCAGATATCCTCAGGCCATCCATACTTGATGAGATCCTCATCTGTGGGAATAAAAACGTCTATCAGCACATCCCAGGAGCTCACAAACAGCAAATCCACCTGATGTGGACACAGGTGTGCCCTGTGTCCTGAGGGAAAGGATGGGAAACCTAGGGAAATACGCCCTGGAGATGGGGAAGTAGAGATTGAACAGGGAAAGGTTTCTGACAAGTCCTCAAATAACCACAAAACCAGCATTTTTCCCTAAAAATGGAGTGTTTTTTCCCAATAAAGTTACTTTTTTACTTCTATCTGGAGGCAGTTGCTCCACCCAAAAGATTTACAGCATGGATTTATCCCAATAAAAGTGGATTTCAGGGGTTCAATCAGGATCACTCAACTGGCCCAAGCTTTCCAACCATCTATTAACACATGGAAAAACATTCCCAAATCCCCCCAAAATCCACAGGTACTTACTCTCATATTTATCTTTTCCCATGTAAATGGTGTAACTGGCAGGAACAACTGAGGGATGGAAAAAAGGAAACAAGCACAAGTTAATTTTGGATCAAGTGTGCCAAAAAAGGGCAAATACAGCAGTTTTGGGCATGGAATTAGACAGAAAACCACTTGATCTCTTCCTTTTTCCAACCTGGAGGAGGAAAGGAAGGTTATTTTCCATGTTATCCATGTCTTTACCCCCAAGATCTTCACTGGAGCTTGGAATGTGTAATTTCCAGTGCTTTCCATCAAGGATTCTCCAGCCAGGAGGTGGTTCAGGTTGATGTCATATTCCCAGTCTGGAATTAACTTCTCTGCATGGTTCTTCCTTTCCCAAACCTCCCAAATCCAATAGAATCCCCCCTTGGATCCCAAACTGCTTCCTGCCCTGCCCTTCCTCAGAGGATTTGGATGAGAAACCCAAAATCACCAGCCAAAAAAGCCCCAAAGAAGCTTTTTATTTCAGTCATGAGATAATTGAAAGTGGAAAATAAAGAATATTAAAAGGATTTGATTACTGTGGGAGGAAAAGATCGGGAAAAATCCACCCTGGATACATAGGGAAGGGAAGAGTTGGCTTAGTTTAGACCTTTCCCTGGCAGCAAAGTTGATTTAAGGGAGTCAGAAACTCTCTTGGAGCTTTAATTCCAATTTAAAGGGGATTATTCCCATCTTTAGGGGAGTTATCTGCAGTTTTCCTGCTTGCAGGGCATCCCAGTGATCCCACGTGGCTGTTAGGGACTTCTCTCCCACAACCAGGGAATATATGAACTCCTCACTAGGGAAAAAGAAGTTTTAATAACATCCCAGGAGCAAATCTATTGCAGCAACATTCCCAAGGGAGTTGAGTTTTGCCTTCTCCAAGGTGTCCACCTAACAATTTCCTGAAGGAATTTGATCTCTAGTGCTAAGGAAATCAAAGGTGTAAAATTCCAGC